AACTTACATAGGATATATATATATATATATATATATATATATACATAAAAGTGCATAAATAAGTGCATATATAAGTGCATAAAGTCGACCAATTAAATGTCTCATATAAGCCATATTATTGAGATTGTATATTTGATTAATCAGAACGATAAAGATAATTTATTCGGATTGATATAATTTCAATCAATCTTTAAATTCTATTTACTCCTATTTTTTGAATGTATAAATTATATACAGTAAACCTTTCTAAGAATTAGACGTGATTGATGAATCATTTTGTAAGTAAGCGGAACTGTAAAAAAACGGATCCTTCTCTAATAAGTATATAAAAAAATATTAAAGATAGTTTGATATTTGTAAGTTTTATTATAAAAAAATTGGAATTGTATTATAATTTTATTTAATTTTGAAAAATCTGTTCATTATATTAATATCTTCGATATAATGCCTATTCATTTAGGGTAAATATAAATAGTTTTTAAACATCTAAATATATTCATAGTCGATATTTTTGCTCAGTATTAATAAATTTATTTCAGTGTTTCAGAATGTTTATCAACATTATTATTAAATTGACGATTAATTTAACTTGTAGAATCATTTCATAGCATTGATCATTAAAATAATAATCTACACTTCTGATTAATTTACTGTTGATTTTTTCACATTGCTTAATTTATGCTAACTTGTTGGAATTTAAGGAGTTTAACATATTTCTCTACAATATGCTTAGTGGTATTTACTTAACGAATTTCATGGAACTTTGTTCTATATTATGTTAATTTGCGTTTAAGATATTTATTTATTTATTATATTTTTATACGGATATTTATATGCGAAGGTATTTATTGATTATATTTACATACTGAGGATGGCTCAAAATAGGGCCGAAAAATATATCTTTCGCTTGGTTAATAAATAATGCACACACTACTACCCGGTATTGGCATTTCTCTTCTTTAATTTGTTAGATTTAGTCTTCAAAGAGCTTATAATTTTATTTGCTTTATTATTGTGATATTATTAGGTCTACAAATAAGTTCTGACTATTTTTTATAGAAAATTGGTTTATTTATAAAAACCTAAAGCACGTGTCAGGCTTAAAAATAATCTCCATCACTTTCAACACATTTTTGCCGTCTCTCGGGCAGCTGGCGAATCCCTATTCGGAAGAATGATGGTGATTTTGATTCAATAAATTCGGTTATGGAATTTTCGACTTCTTCGGGTATTTGAAAGTGCGTAAAATGAGATGATGCTATAGAGAACGAAAGAAGTGGCAATCTGTAGGGAAATCTGTATTCTCCATATTTGGAGAATAAGTCGCATGATAAAGAATTTCCCAGCCCAAAAAGTATAGATTAATTCTTTGGTTGCTATCGCCGAATGGGGCCGTGCTTTATCGTGCAGCAGTATCACCTGACGAGTTCCTTGGTCGGTATAAGATCGTTTTTGTTCGATTTTGTCACTTAATCGCATCAATTATTGATAACGCTCAGACGTTAGTTTCCCCAGATTTTAGCAACTCAAAGTATAGTACACCTTTCATATCCCATCAAATGCATAATACTTTTTTCGAGTGAATATTCGGTTTTGCAATTGACGTTGACGGTTCGTCAGGATAAACCTATGAATTTTTCTTTTAGGATTCTCGTATAAGATCCACTTCTCATCACCAGTTACAATTTTAAACAGAAAATCCTTCTGCTTAAATCTTAACAACAGGTAAATTGCTGTGTCGTAGCGCTTTGTTTTCTGAGCTGAACACGTGCGGAACCTAACGACCAGCCTTCTGTATTCTTCTCAGCTTCTGCTATCAATGGGAATTCGCTTGTTGAGTGACACCGAGTTTGTTCAGCCTTTCATATTTGACAAGGATTTTCTTGCAACAGCTGATCCAATTCCTCGCCTTCAACTTTTTTTGGTGCTTCCGAACAATATTGATCGGAAAGATTGAAATTATCCATCTGAAACTTTTTGTACCATCTTTTGCACGCACTTTCAGACACATTTTCTCCTAAAGCGGAACAAATTATTTCTTTCGCTTCGAGAACACTTTTTTTTTAATTAAAAAGCGAACAGAATACAATGCCTCACGTGGTTGTCGATGACAACGTGTTCACTTTTAAGGTTTGTGAGATTATGTCATATAAGATTTCCATATGTATATATAATATATTTTTTTTTAAAGGTTAGTATTGTGAATCTTCAAAGCAGCGGGAAAAAGATTTAAATTTATAATAAAGTTACAGTTGATTAATTCAGAGAGATCAGAATTTATTTGTAGACCTAATATTTCAACTTCAGTTTTACTAATTGCGTTTCATGTCCAACAGTACGCAATGTGTAATTTAAATAACTAAAAGATGTATTCAAAATTTATTATATATTATATTATGCACCAAAATCTAGTCTTGATCGTATTGATCCTTTCTTTACTCATTTGATTTGTTCATACACGATATAGATTAACTTATTACACTATTCGTGACAAAAAATGACTTTTTTCAAACATTTTTTCAAAACAAGACTAGTCATTTTTTTATAATTTTTAGATAAAACTTTCCCTTTACACAGTCAGTCCCAAATGATCTCCTTGACCTTGCCTTTGATTCTCAAAAAGATCACTGATCTTTTCCGTCGCTCATTATTCATTAAAAAGTAATGAACAAAACAATTTTTATGAATAGCACGCAATTTTGAAATACAAGGTACATATTTCGGCAGTATTTTCCCTTGACAGGGGGAAATGGGGAGGTAGGCCTCGCTTTACGTGGAAAGTCGTGTGCCCCTTGGCAGGGGGCTTTAAAAACAAATTCTCTGCTTTAAAAATACAAATTTTCGGTTTTAAAAACACAAATTTTTTTAAATATAATTTTTATATTTATGGTAGAGAATTTGTTTTTAAAGGAGAGAATTTATGTTTGAAATATTTGAGCAATTGAAGCAGAAAATCTTATTCTAGTCTCACTTACACAGTCTCATGTTCTTCTATACCACTGATGTGTTTGAAAATTACTATTCATAAAAATTGTTTGTTCATAACTTTTTAATGAATAACGAGTGACGGGAAAGGTCAGTGATCTTAATCTCCTTGAGAATCAAGGTCACTTGGAAGTTATTTGGAGCTGGTTGTGTAAAAGGAAAGTTTTGCCGATTTTAATTTAATCTTCAACTTACATGCCTCGTTTTAGAATCTTAATTTACATGTCTGAGTCCAAGTCACTCATGGCATCTTTGATTAGGTCTGTAATTATCATAAATCTCAATAGAAAATATTTTTTTTAATGAAATGCCAGAATGTATAGAATCAAAATATCAAAATATAAAACGGTTTTGATAATAATTGAAAAAATTATGCCAAAAAATATTAAAAAACAATTTGTGAAGAATGCAATAATCATTTTTTTTTTAAATCATATCTGTATGTTAAAAAAAGATACAGATAAAAATAAGTAGTGTTTTGAAAAAAGAAAAATATGAAGTAAAAAAAAAAACGTATCGATTTATTCCAAAAAGTACTATTATTTGTGCGATTGAAGTAAGGGCATTTTTATATATGCCCAGAAAAATGATATCGAAGGCATGTCAGGTATTTTTTTCTTTAAAAAAAATTACAATGAAAATATTTTATATTAAATATATAATAATTTCGACATTATTTACTCACGATTTTATAACTCCGAGAAAATAGAGCGATCGTTTCATCAAGACACCTCTCACACAAAAATGTTTTTTGGCAATAAATATATGTATGTATAAATATATATATTTTAATTATAAGACAACATATAATATATACTTGAATATAGCACTAATAAACAGGCACTTATTAACTAAAAACGAATTTTCACTTTCAGCAAAAGTCTATTGAATTTACATTTGAAATGGATTCAAGTCACCCAAGCCAACTTTTATTGCATCACAATTAGCATCAAAACAACAACGAAACAATTGCATCACGGCGATCGACAGAGAAAGATTCCAAGTTTTTTATCCCCTTCACTTCAACTCTGCAATATTAATCTTACAAAAATAGCGGCCGATTTAAATTTTCACTCGGGTCTAAATGACGCACTCACACAATTGAGGGTTAATATTTTGAATACTAAATATGATCTAAATTGTTCCATTACGTAATAAATTTAAGAAATTAGAGTTGTAAAAAGGGCTGCTTTCATGTATTTTGTCATATTACAACTACGATATGTTATGTACTGGAGAAGTTTTACTGCAATCAAAGTATAAGTACATATATTGTTAGGGATTTTCAGACTTCAAAAAAATTGTTTAGTGTTGATAACATATTTATGTTTAACATGGTTAAATATGGGATTTATTGTAGAAAAGTTGTAAATTGATTTATTGATGATTTAAATAGTTTTAAACTGTGTTCATCTAAACTTAAGAGGATTTGTAGATTGCTGAATATAAATTCGATATCAAAATTGATAAATTCAAAATGGTAGATTAAATATGGCAATCATGATTTTGAATTTGTCAATTTTAACATCAGATTCGTATTCAGCAATTTGAAAAAGACGCTTAGAAGAAATTTAATTTAAACATAAAAGCTATTTGGTAAATCAACAATTAACTAAGTAGTTCACAACTGTTCTTCAGTTGCAATAGTCTCCATATTTAATTATGACTATTTTATTAATCATAATCGATATTGAAAAATCTTTTTTAAGGTCTGAAAGTCCTAATAACATAACTAATTATAATTGCAATATTTCTCCAGCATGTCACATATCACAGTTTTAATATCGTAAAATATATGAAAATATGCCCTTTTTTACAAACTTTAACTATAAATTTTTCAAAATTGTAACGTGATAGAGCAAACATTGAAAACTATGATTCTTATTCAGTCGAACAAATTAAACTATAGGAAGTGACTAGTCTCGTTCTGGTGATTTTTTATGTCGGACAATGTCGAGAAAAGAATATTCGGGTATTCTTTCACGTGTACAGCGGTAAACTCGAGTTTTTTCTAATGAAAAATTCCCATTGGTTTCTTTTTACACATTCGTTACCACGCGACATGTATATCATGTGATGCTCCGATCCTCGTGACACAGACAGACTAATATCACGTACGCGTGACGGCGATAATTATCTAAAATTAATTTTTGTACACGCACACATACACACAGTTCGAAACTGAGCGCCGCTCGTGCTAACGGCACGATGAAGTCTCAGATCCGTCTAAAATTTTAGGAAGAAGCATAGAGTCTTGCATAACGCATAACGTACAGTGCATAAGAAAATGAACCAATTGAAGTCTGTTATTTCCTTCCTTTCCATAAAATAAAAGAAATAAATCTGATTCATGACCGACATTATTTTACTCACCCCAAAAAAAGCTGGAAGGTTTTTTGAGTTTCACTCGCCAAAAAATTTGTGGATTTTTTGGATTTTATTGGAATTATAGAAAAATAAATTTTTTAATTAAAAATAAATAAAAGGAACGTATTTATAAATATCTAATAAATATATGTATACTAAACTGAATTAATAATTTAATATTTGAAACTTTCTCTGTTTATAATATCCAAATAAATATTAATACATATTGTTCATAATATGTAGTGTCATCATTTCTCCCTTTGTCTCATAACAGAAATGTTTTTTCTATGTCTAAAATTCATTATTAATATTTTTACAAAATATTATTCTCATATAATATTATTTGAATATGTAATTAAATAATGATAAATACAAAACGTAAACTAAATATTAAGTGAAAAAAATGTCGAATAATTAATTGTATAAAAAAATCCAAAAAACCGTCAAAAACCCATAAAAATACTCACTGAGCTGAATTATATTTTAACAAAACCCGGGTTTTTTCAAGCCCTGTTGAGTGAATAGGCAGTTTGCAGTTTGAAAAAATAATACATTTTTTTTACCGTCTCGATAGTCTAAAGGCTTAGGACGCTCGCACGGAATGCAAGAGATCCGGGTTCGACTCTCGGCCGAGGCAATATTTTTCGCAATAAGTTTATTACAATTTTTAAGATTTGGGAAAATTTGGGGGGATTATCAGAATGATTGTGTGAATCCGATAATTTCATCGGCTCTCAATTTATTTCTGAAAAATTAATTCAATTAATTCAATTTAAATTAATGTTAGTTCAACATCTTAACATTCGGAACTGTAAGGCGCTTCGTATTTAAAGTTTGGACATTTTTTTTTGTTTATTATGGAAATATACATTATTATAAATTTATGTATAAATTAATGTATAAATTTATAATTTTAATAAAATTTGTAATTTTTAGCAATAGATAGGTACTAATAAACTAAAATAAAGTTTAACAATATTTGAAATTTGAGAAAACAATTTTGATTGGCTACCAAATGACGTCACACTGCAATAAATCGTCTGCAACCGTCTGCTTGGAAGGCTAAAGCGAAATCTTAAAATTCTCTTCTTAAAAATCTCTTTATAAATTAAGAATATTAAAATAAAATGTCAAACCAACTGATCCAGGATTTATTAAAATCGATTCAACGAATTTACCATAAATAATTGTATTTATGGTTTGGGAGTATATTGTTAGAGAGAGTGATGAGTGATATAATATTCCAGAAGCTCGAGAAATAAAACCAACTTTGTAAATATATTTTTATTATTACAGTGGTAATTTTTTTTCAATTTTATTCTAAGTAGCATAAATAAATATTATAATTAATGTAATGTATAAGTAATGTAATATAATCTGATCATCAAGAGAAAAATACTGATTCCGCTATAGCGGAGTATAGCCTATAAGTTATGTTAGCATCAAACAGGAAAGTTCTATTTGTGCAGTAAAAGGAACAATCTGAATACAGAGTTCTACAAAAAAAATTATACTGTAATTTGTATTGTTGATGAAGAAAAAGAAATAGTTCAATAAAATGCCTGAGTATGCAGCATCAGGTTAAAATATTTGAGAGCAATAGTTTAAAAAACAACTAAATTTTTATTTCATAAAAATAACAATTCAATAAACAGTCGTTTAAATATCCTTATATAATAATCACTTGCGATTTTAAAAATACAAAGTAAAAATAAATCCAAGATCAAAGTTTATATAGTATATGTATACATATATATATAATATAATATATATTATATATATATATATATAATACATATTTTTAACAATATAAATATATAAGTTTCTATAAATAAATTGAATTTAATTATAGGAGAATGTATAGCATTCTTAATATTAAGAATTTTAAGAAGGATTAATAGACTATATGAGTCTGCATCTCCAACTGAAAGCACTTGAATATTATTGGAGAAAATCAGTCTTGTCTAATGTTGCAATTTCAAAAAAATTTATTACAACTAATGAGATGACAATGAATTTTGAATTCTACGACTGAAAATTTAGGTGACAACTCTAATTTCATAAAGTAATCAAACAAGCCAAAGCAAAACAAATAGATAATAATCAGTTGTCGAGAAACACATATTATTAGACATAAAGAGGAAAGAACGATTTACTATCAATTTACTATCAATTAATAAATATTATCAATAGAAAAGAACAGTTTATACATTATCAACTTATCAGTTAATGTTTAACTTTTGTTAATCTAACTAAAAAATATTCATTGCCAGTTGATAATTTCCAGTTAATATAAAGTTTGCAAAAGAAAAAATATTTGAAAATTAAAAAAGCAAGTTATTCTAATAAATTCTATTAATTTAAGATTATAAATATTTAAAACATATAATTTACATATTGAAAATATGTTTTTTTATTAATTATGAATTATAATTTTAAAATAATTTTACAAATTCCCAAAATACCTTTACATTTGACATTCAATGTTTTAACTTACATTTTAGGTTATGTTGGATATTTTTACATGGACATGATTAATATTTTTATAATTATTACAATTAAAGAGCATAAAAAACATATTTTATATAATACGTGCATCGAAATAATCTTTACAACAACAATAATTCCATTTTCCTGATTCATCAACACGATGTGCACTTTTAAACTACTTTTTTCACATTTTCAGCTTGAAGCGCATAAAAGGATAATTTTTTTTCTGATGTTTTAGTTGTTGTGCTTTTATACAAAGTAAAATATGTTTTGTACGTGTTTCTTTTGCTCATTTTTAAAATAAATTAATTTCCTACTGAATAATTGTTTCGTTGTTGCAGTGTGACGTCACAGCACGTCCGGGAGAGCTCGGTCGTATCCGGACCGTCTTCGGCATTTCAAAATAATGCAATACTTTATTATTTATTTTCTTGCACAATTTAGGTTAAAAAATTATTAAAAAATTACATTTAAAGGTAAAATATATATATACATATTATAAAATGCAATATTTTTCAAAAGTTATGCAAACTCTCGATTGAGTGATTTTTTTATACTTGACGCATTACCCCACAAACACAATAGAGTAGTAAGTCTCAAAAAAGCCTTAAGGAATTCAATTATAGTTAATTATTCTTCTCACATTCGACTGTGATTGATCAATTTCTTAAGCTTATTCTATAATGTGTTCTTTGTTTCCTATTTCATGCTTTTTACTTCTCGCTTTTTTCTTTCCTTTGCGATTTAACGACAATTGTATTTCTTACTACTGTTTCCTGTTTCTTCCGACATTTATTAACTTTTATCTCAGGCGACAGAAAACAAAAAACCAAATAAGAAATAAAAAGACAAGATGTAAGAAAATAGCAAAAAAAAACAAGAAACAAAAAATTCATTGTAGAATAAGCTTTAAGGCTTAAGGCTTACAATTCTTATCTTGTGTTTGCGGGGTTATGCGTTATGCAAAGGTCTATGCTTCGGCTTTTAACGTCAGACGCGACGGCTATCCTTCCATAACTCTGCATCACCGTGATTTCATGCTATGATAAACTACTGGTGATTTCCGAGATGTAAAACGTAAATAATGATGACTCTCAAAACTCCGACTGACTACGCGGATTCATTCATTTTTTTCTCACACGCTAAGGAGTATCCTACGTCGCATGGCATGCATCGCTGTGATTTTCATGCGTGGATGATAAAAAGAGAGGAAGAAAGATCGATCACGCACACATTTGCATTCCCCGAGTTCGATTTTGTTTCTTCTCTTCCTTTCCATCTCGTTCCTGTTCTTCTTT